GTACAGGAGTCGTACAGTAAGCACGCGTGAGTCCGTTATAATAATGCGTGTATGAGTGCTCTTGACGCACTGATTGCACATTGTATTTATGCACAGGCACAGACATTTCCGTACATTCACGTTGTTTCCACACATATTCACGATAATGTTTTGATTTGTCATGTGTATGTTGCCGTTTCGTTATTCTGAATGGATCCGTGCGTGTACTGTAGTAGATATATGCAGTCAGCAGGCGATTTTGGTTTAGTTTTTTTTTGGCATCTCCATGTGGTCCTGTTTGGTATCGCAACTTGGCTTCTCTAAAATGTAAAAAAGCTCTTTGCTGTTGCACTGTACACATACTATAAAATTCAGATTTTTTTTTCTTTCATATGTGCTTATATAGGCTCCTTATAGAATTTGGTTCTTTGGTGTCCTTTTGGAGTTTCTAAGTGTCCTTTTTTGGAAAGACATCTAAATTTATCTTGAAAAAAGCTTGCAGAAAATATAGATTTTTGAGAATCACCCTTCAATCTTTTGGTTTACTTTGCTGGATATAGCAAATGATGACAAAATAAACATTTGAAACAAGATAAATGGTCTATGCTTAATTTCATGAAGTGTGCGATTAATCGTGATTAATCACAGAAAAAGGATGTGATTAATTAGATTAAAAATTTAAATCGATTGACAGCCCTAATATATATATTGAATGGCATAGTGTATAATGTTACAAAAATTTTATTTCAGATAAATGCTGATCTTTGGATCTTTCTATTCATCAAAGAATCTTGAAAAAATTGTACTCAACTGTTTTAAATATTGATAATAATAATACAAAATGTTTCTTGAACAGCAAATCAGCATATTATAATGATTTCTGAAGGATAATGTGACACTAAACAGTAAACACTAGTAATGATGCTGAAAATTTTGCTTTGATTACAGGAATAAATTACATTTTAAATATTCAAATAGAAAGCAGTTATTTTAAATAGTAAAAAATATTTCAAAATATTACTGCTTTTGCTGTATTTTGGATCAAATAAATGCAGGCTTGGTGAGCAGAAGAGACTTTCTTTAAAAAAACATGAACAATTTTGTCATTATTATTTCATGATAGTGATTGCATTAACTGATCAATTAATTTATGGAAACTTATAAAAGTATACAATTTTTGTCAGAGTAGAACCACAAAGTCTTAATATGATTGATGTTTGATGTTTTCCCTCAATTCAAAACAGATTAATAAATAGGAACCTGCTACATGCACCACCTGTATGTACAAACACTCACTTCTTTGGTTGTGAAAATCCTTTCTCAAAGGCCTGCTCTGAGGACCCTCCCTTCTCCACAGAGTTGCCACGGCGACAGCTCTGTCCTGTCACCGAGGGGGAGGAGGAGTCTGGCTGGTCTGATTCACATACCACCTGAAAGCCGAGATAGAAGAGGAAATCACATGACCCCAGCTGAACAATGATGTTAATGCACTACCAGAGGAAATTAATATACGCCAGGACTAAATGAGCCACAAGGGGCTGTGCAGCTGCAAATCATAGTCTGAATACTCACTGCAGGGCATGGGTTACTGGTATCATGAGGACTACACTGGTTATTCACTGGAGAATTCCTCTTTGCTGTGGAGAATATAGCAGAGATAGCAGATGTGTGAAGCATGAACGATGTACACACATAAAGAACAATGAGCAAAGATAGAATTGTATTTTGGGTTTAACGCTGGTAAAACACAGCAAAAATTTAATTGTTGTTGAGGACAGAAGTGATAGAAGAACCGTAAAAAAATTACAGAAATCTGACCTGTAACAATGTTACGCATGGGTTTGACAAGGGCATAAAAAGCAGGAACATCAGGTTGACGGTGCTCCCACATTGGCTGCCAAATAACAAGTCCACCAGCCAGTCGAAAGGTGAGGTCAGACTCCTGCCAAATGCAAAATGATCAACATTTTTTAGCAGTTTAAGCTAAATTAATAAATCATTATTTGCAAAAATAAAAAAGTACATTCACAGCCATAAAATTAAGGATTTTGAACTGATAAAGTAGGGCTCAACAATAAAATTTTCCTTGCTTTGTCATAAAAAATTTTTATCTGCCCCACCACAAAAAAATTATCAGTTTATATTTTTATATTTGCTAGAAATATTTATTTTTTCAGCGAATGTTGAGGTAACATTTTTCATCTTTAAAATACTGAAATGATTAAATAATTATAATTAAATAATATAATTATTATATTACACTATAATAATTAGAATATGTTTTATTTTAATTTATACAAGCTGGAAATTATACAGCTGTAATGAAACTCACTTCTGCTAATCTCATCTATGTTTGCCACCTAGATAACATTATCTTGTGACAAATCAGAAGAATTTACAGCAACAATGTAGAACAGATCATGGAAAACGAAGGCATTAAAATGAATGCACAATATCAATGATGTAATATTTTCAGTGGCAATGCAGCCACTTCCATGAACTCTTTCACACTGGCCTTGGGCCAGCAGGACATCCGCATTGTTGAGCCCTGCAGAGAAAAAAAAAACATAATATCAACAGTAAAAGTTCCAACCTTGATCCGGTTAATGAGGGGGGCAAAGAGAAACACAAAGAGCTCCACAGTGGCCATGTTCTTGTGGTAGAGTTTGGCACGGGCATATTCATTCTCTTCAGCTGTGCTGCCATTGTGGTCTGTGAGACCCTGGTTCCCCATGGGCTGAAGGTAGGCACTACTGCTACCACTGCTACCCCCAGACCAGCCCTGTCCCAAGCCAGGCTCCTGGTGGCACTCCTGGGCCGCCTCCAGAAGCATCCAATGTAGAGTGTGAAGGAGTTTCGTTTCAGCTACCCCGAGTTTATCCTGGTGTCCTGGTGAAGAGAGATTGCGGACATGCTGATCAATAAAATTAACCACAGAATTAACTCACCCAAACACACAGTGCACAAAGGACATAGAAATTGTAGTTTAATAAGGGTTCCTACCCAGCTTGTTGCGGTTCGAGAGAAGGATGGCAGTGCAGTGGAGAACATGAGGCAGAGCAGCCTGGACCAGCTCCCAGCGAGAGATGCTCTGGATGGCTTCAGTGAGGGCTGGAGAGAGCCCGTGGAGTTTGTTCTCCACCAGCACCCGCTCAAATGACTATAGGCAGGATAAAACGTGAGACATAATCCTCAAGAGCACTTATTAAATGATTGCTTCTTCCTGTTACAGTATTATTTGTACACAAGAAAGAAAACATGATATAACAGCAAGACTGTCAGTCATATGGCATACTAATACTAATCCCAATAATAATAATAATTATTATTATTATTAACAGAACTGTATGCAAAAAACTCTGTCAATAGAACAAAATATTCACAGTTAAATTCATGATTTCCAGTCTTGAAAGATAGGGTTGCAGAATGCTTAATAAAAAACAAATGCATAGTTCATTACTTTAACCTCAGTTTGAAAACAAAAACACTTAAGGAGGATACACACTGTAATTATTTTTATTTTAACAGTAAACTACTGTAAGAGTGCTCAAGTAAAAACCTGTTAATTGATTAATGGTATAGGTTCCCTTATTATGGCGAAAAAACGCAAATAAATCTAACAGAACATTTAAAAAGTAATATACTGTTAAATTAACAGTTTTTGGAAATGAACAAGTCATCTTATAAATTACAGTGAAAAATTGTAAATTGAAATTCCCAGAATTCCCTGTATGACATTTGTTTGAAATAATTCTGTTTCTTCTTAGTTCTTTCTTACCAGTTATGGACCTTAAGGTTTATGTCAAATCTTATGTTGTTAAATTATTGTTTATTGAAATATGTTAGTGTCATGAGTCACACATGATGCGTGTAACCATTATGCCATTTTGTATTTGTGTGCATACAGTATATACAGTATTACTGTACATATGTAAATTAGCTTTGCTATATATATATATATATATATATATATATGTGTGTGTGTGTGTGTGTGTGGCTTTCTCTTTCACTTGTGTTTACTAGTGGTTGTCAGTATAGGTCATTTCTTTGTGGTATTTCAGTAGGTTATATTAAGGTTAAATCAGTTAATCAAATATGTATATAAACCTCTGATTTAGGCTTATAGTCTCTGAGATAAAGGAAAGATTATTCACAGGTGAAGGTGTTCACTTATGATTATTCATACACTCACCACACAGGAGGCTTCATACTGCTTCCCTAACTTCGGCCGCAAAAACGCACTGTAACAGATACATTTTTTTATTTAGTTTCATATCATATCATAAAACTGTATAAAATAACAGCCATAATCGAGCCGCCAAGGACACTGTGCCACAGCATGATTTTAACTGAAACTGAATTATGACGAGCTCTGATAAGGCACTGACAGCACGATTGCTCTACGAAGATGAAATATTCGATAGAACATTCTGCAAATTTTGTTCAGGGTTTCATTCTAAGACACACAAGGTGCGGCGGTGTGTGAAAAGATGACGCACGAGACACTCAGCGCAACAGAAATCCATTCAGAGACCGGTATGAGAGATGCATACGAATGAGAACCGCTCTGCGGGAGCCATATACGAGGAAACCAGACTAATCACTCGCAGAAAACACCTGTTATACCACGACTAAATCACTGACCTGGTCTGTCTCCATAGGAAGGTTTGGATCGGAAAAGGGATACCCCGGCAGTTTTCCCGGTCACTGTCATCCAAGCTCTTTCTTTTCACCATTTTTGACCTGCTGGATTCAAGGGTGCAGACGGGCTGCTCAGAGATGGATTTGATTCACGACATCGGAGCGTAAAATGGCTGCAGGTGTTGACTTGTGTCGACACGACGCCGTGGGGCAGCGCTGAAAGACCGAATCCACTTGTCAATTAAGACACGCTGACCACCGGGCTGAAGATACGGCTTCAAATACGTAATCAATGAGATGGAGCGACGGACCCCCTCTGGGTCTTAAAAGCTCGAGATTCGCAAATATTTCAGTGTAACAATTAATACTGCATTATTAGTACCCAAATCGACAATTCTGCCAAAATATCAGCTGCTACAATCACTGTTACATTAATAATAAATAAAAATAAGACAATAGGCCTATATGAGAACCATGTAAGAAGTTTTCAGAATCCCAGTCCTTTCTTTCTTTTTCTTACACGGTGCTGGATAACATAAAATTGACAAAGTTCAGTGTAATAATAACTGTAGCAATTAAACATTTTAATGTAAACTATGGCTACCATATAATAGCCTATATATGGTATATAATTCATTTATACAAGAAAAAAAGTGTAATAAAAAACTGTATTGTAAGTACATGGTTATTGATAAATGTAAGGTAAAATGTGGTAACATTTTATTTTAAGGTGTCCTTGTTACACGTTACATGTACTTACTATTATAATAACAATAAATTATGCATAACTACATGCAAGTAACCCTAAGCCAAACCCTAATCCTAACCCTGGCCATATAGTAAGTATATGTTGTTAATTAATATTACTCCGAACTTAAATGTATAATTAACACTGTAACAAGGACCCCTTAAAATAAAGTGTAACCTAAAATGTGATCCTTTCATATAACAAAAAATGAATTTAAACTCTCTTCCGGTGCTTATGGCACCAGTAGATAGCCTATACATGTTCATAAACTGCAGTTCATAAATTAACCAATAACACCTTAATCCCTCTTTAATAACACATCAGACAAGAATAAAAGTTAGTGTTCTAAAAGCATAAACAAATGTGATATATTCAGTTTCATCAATCTGATTACGAAAAAATGGGGTATTATTCATTTTCCCACATACACATCTTGACCAGATAGAATAGTTATGGTCCTATTAATTCAGATTTTCCATGTGAATTTCAGGCCAATTGAGTGGAATAATTCAACCTAAATGCATAGTCTATTCCTAACCAAACCAAATAAAACATATATAATTATTATTATTATATAGCATAATTCACATGCATCTCTTTTATTGTGATTTTTGTGTTTTTTGTCTGCCTGCCCCATTATGTAAAAGTATTGTCACAATGCATAAATTTGCACAATATTTGATCTAGTATTTCACATTGACACATTAAAAAAATAATACATTAAAAAAATTGTCAGATATGCTTTATGCAGCAACATCAGATGCATCAGATGACAGGGGACTTCTTGCTCCAGGTAGGGGAGTCGAAACAACAAATGTCCAAAACACAATGAAGAATAATTTCCAAAACACTTTATTATCTTTTTTCTCACTATAACCATACACATTATCAAATGATGATCATATGAATGCAGTGGAATGAATATGTACCGAACCCATCAAATGGTAGCAGCAAGTCATTTACCTTTAAGGAACTGAAAATTTTTATTTTTGTAAGCTTTTAGTTGTTTTGTGGCATTTAAACAAATAAGGGAAACAAAAATCATATAAAATTAATTTAGTGGGTCAAATGTTTATTAATCTCTATATTTTAAAATGTAAGGGTGTTTAAGTTGGCAAATTACAATTTAATTCTACAAATTCTAGTAAAGTTATAAAAAAACTGAACGGATAATAACTTTTTTTAATTGGAGTGGTTCAATAAAATCTAGTCATTCAGGCTACTACCGGAATCATGAAAAATGACTTGGGTTATTACTCCTTATATGGCTGAAATAAACAAACCAAAAAATAAAAAAATAAATAAAACCCCCCCCCCCACATT